GGTAAATGTTGCCCTTTTGATCGCAGTTGGTTGATTTTCTAAGGTGTGTGTACCTTCCTAGTGTTTTTATTGTAGGTTTTATAAATCTGCCTCTTGTGTGGCTGAAAATTGAGCCAAGGGGTTGTAAATTCATTTCCAAACCTGAAGGTAACTAAGAGCCATAGTCTTGCACTTAGGGCAATTTTTGATTTTATATAATTCAACCCTACTTCCTGACCTACCTATTTCTCTCAGATGAATTTCTGTTTAGCCCCTAAACTCCTAGAACAGCCCCTCTAAACTGAGTTCCATGAAAATTAAGCTCTAATGCCCTGTAGTATTCTTTGTCAATTTAGTGAATTAAGTTCTCTCTTAGGCATTTAGAATGGTAGGAGCTGCATATATCTTTGGGAAAATTGAGAAAATAGATAATAGTATTTAATTTCTTGTATAATTCCCACTTAGAAAGATTGCCCTAGAAAGTAAACTCTGGGAAGGTAGAAACTTTGTCTTTACCATTAATGTTTGTTACTCTGTCCTCAGTGCCTACAACGTCTGCTACAGGGCAGGCTGTCAACAAATTTTTGTTGATTGAATGAATGATGCAGTCTCTCTGCCTGTGGTGCTCCTCTTGTTATTGGTATTAGGTGCTGTTGGTTGATTTGGTATCGTGAGTCAGTTCTGACTCATAGTGACCCTGTACAGGGTCTCTGAAGCTGTAACATCTTTACTGGAGCAGAAAGCCTCATCTTTCTCCCGCAGAGCAGCTGGTAGTTTCGAACTGCTGACCTTGAGGTTAGCAGCCCGACTCGTAACCACTACGCTACTAGAACTTGTTTAGGTGCTGAGTTGGCTCCAATTCATAGCAGCCCTCTGAGTATAACAGAATGAAATGTTGCCTGCTCTGTGTCTCAAGCCTCTATTCTACTTCCACTCATTCCTTACACTGTTTACAGTTCAATTTATTATTGTTTTATTGGGATAACAATATATATAAGAAAACTTTGAACAATTCAGCATTTTTTACATGTACAATTTATGTTCATCATGTTGTACAACCATCATCATATCTGTATCCGAATCATTCCATCATTATTAAATGAAACTCAGTGCATCCCTTAAGCAGTGATCCTCATTGTCCTCCTCCCTTCCACCCCTGTTGTTACGTGCTGTTGAGTCAGTTCTGACTCACAGTGACCCAGTAAAGGGTTTCCAAGGAGCAGCTGGTGGGTTTCAACTGCTGACCTTGTGGTTAGCAGTCCCATGCTTATTCTCCAGTGCCACACTGGTAGTTCCACCCTTGGTAGCCACTAATAACATAGTTTACTTTTCAAGACAAATCCAATCATGTCATTCTCCTGATTAAAACACATCCGGGTCCCTCCTGCTTTCAGTAAATTCTAGTCTCCTTATCATGGCTTATTGACTACCACTATCTGTCCCCTTCTGCCTCTATTCTCATCTCCCCATTTTCTGTATACATCCCATGTGTTCAACTGAATAGTTGCTCCTTGCTTTCTACTTGGGTGCTCCTTCATGACCCAAAACCTATTAAGCCAACTCTTTTCACATCCTCAACAATTAATCTAAAAATACCTTTTAAAGGTATTCTCCAACGCTCCCCATCTGAACTGGTGACCCTGATGTACCATAGCATCCATCTCTCCCTCCAGCTCTGCTTCTTTGCTTGCTTATGAATTATTTTTTTTTTATCTCAAAAGAGATTGATTTAATTCACCCAGGGGCCATCAAGGCAAGTGGTCAGATCCCCTTAGAGCAAACTCCCTTCCAAGATTGAGACTCAAGGGGAATACATGAGCAGGCATGTGGTCTGGCTGGTGACCACGTTGGTTACCTATAAAGGGAAGAGGGGGAAAAAAAACAACAATGAAGTTGTGAGCTAAGTCCAACCACACTCAGTAGACCCCTGTGGACCTGAGCGGAGATCTGGATGGCCAGCAATATGGCAAGACCCAGGAACTCCTGGGCCTAGAGGCAGTGGCATGACCACAGAGGACTAGAGTGGAGAGTGAAGTATCCAGCTGATATGAAGTGAGGGGAGATGCACAAGAACACCCATACTTGCAGGTAGTACCCACTTGACCTGGCTTCGATGGATGGATGATCAGAACTCGACTAGAAGAAGAAAGAGGAAAAAAAGTAATCTGATAGAATTTCATGAACTTGATCTGTGGATGTAGTAGCTCAAAAGAGCTTATCATAATCCACACAATTGAAAGCCTTTGTGTAGTCAATGAAGGACAGATAAGCATCTTTCTGGTATTCTTTGCTTTCAGCCAAAATCTCATCAGCTGTTATTAGCAGTGATATCCCTTGTTCCAGTAAAAAATGTTGAAATTGTTAACAATTTCATTTTATTTGAATCCACCATCAACACCCATAGAAATAGCAGTCAAGAAGCCAAATGTGTTGGGCAATCTGCTGCAAAATACCTTTTTAAAGTGTTTAAAAGCAAAGATGTCATTTTGAGAATTAAGCTACCCCTGACCCAAACCGTGGTATTTTCAAGCACCTCATGTGTATGGGATCCCAGTTTGAACGGTAGGGTTGGTTTTTCAAGCTTACCAGCCACTGCTTTACAACACCTAACAACATTATGTTTTTATTGTATGTTTCTCACAGGCCTGATCAGAAACTAGCTAGCTCTCCATGGAATGAAAGCATAAATCCTTGTTGGTGTGGTATTAAAGCCTTAGTCTCTGGAACAGTGCTATGTAGATTTTAGCCCTAGCTCTTTCTTTTACTAACTGATGACCACAGATAATTATTTTATCTTTCAACATCTTCATTCTCTCACTTGCAAAATGGGGCTATACTGATGATGCAACCTTGCATGTTGGAAGGGAAGAGGACTTAAATGATTAGTGATGAAGATCAAAGACCACATACAGCTTTCATTATTGATTGCACCTCAGTGTAAAGAAAACAAAAATCCTTACCACTGGACGGATAAATAACATCATGATAAATGGTGAAAAGATTGAAGTTATCAAAGACTTCATTTTGCTTGGGTCAATCATCAACACTCATGGAAGCAGCTGTTAAGAAATCAAAGGACACATTGCATTGTACAAACCCTTGACAAGACCTCTTCAAAGTGTTCAAGATCAAAGATGTCAGTTTGAGGACTAAGGTGCGCCTGACTCTAGCCATGGCGCCTTACGATAAGCACTGGACCTCAAAGTCTGTTTGAACCGCAGGGTCTGTGGTTCAAACTCGCCAGCTGCTCCTAGGAAATCTTCTAAAGAGCAGCTATGAGTTGGAACTGACTCAACGGCATACATAACAACAACAATATGCATGTGAAAGTTGGACAATGAATAAGGAAGATTATAGAAGAATCTATGCATTTGAATTATGGTACTGAAGAAGAATATTAAAAATACCATGGACTGCCAGAAGAACAAACAAATCTGTGTTGGAAGAAATACAGCCAGAATGTTCCCTAGAAGTCATGCTGTCTCTCATACTTTGGACATGTTAATCAGGAGGGACCAGTCCCTGTATAACAGGGGTGGGGAACATTTTTTTCTGCCAAAATTTTTAATATCACTTGAAAGCCATACAGAATTATCTACTTAAAAATTATACTGCTATGTTTGATCAAACATTAAATTAAGTCACCTCTAATGTGATGGCTGGACTCCTGGTGTGGTGCTGTACTGGACTGCGCACTGGATCAGCACTGGACTGTGAACCATAGGTCAGCAATTCAAACCCACCAGCTGTTCCTTAGAAAGGCTATACAGGGTTGCTATGAGTTGGAACCGACTTGAAGTCACTTAACAACAGCTTGGCAGTGTTAGATCAAATGATTTTGGGGTCCTATATGACCCGCAAACCAGATGCTTTTCACCCCTACTTTAGGGACATCATGCTTGGAAAGTGGAGGATCAGTGAAAAAGAGGAAGACCCTCAATGAGGTGGACTGACACAGTGACAGCAGCAGTTGGAGTCAAACATAACAATTGTGAGGATGGCTCAGGAGCAGACAGTGCTTTGTTCCGTTATGCATTGGGTCACTATGTATCTCACCTATAAAAACAACACATGGGCTGCTATGCCAATTAGGTTCTTTAATACAGGTTGTATTAGTTTCCTGGGGCTACCATAACAAAACACCAAAAACTGGGTGGCTGAAAACAACAAAAATATATTGTCACACAGTTTTGCAGCGTAGCAGTCTACATTTAGGGTGTCTACACGGTCACACTCTCTCAGACGGCTCCAGGGAAGAACCTTTTCGTGACTCTTCCTAGCTTTGCGATTCCTGGCAGTGTTTGGTGTTCTTGGGTGGTGGCAACATAACTCCATATCTGCCTCTGTCTTCATATGGTCATCTTCCCCTGTATCATTTTATAAAGATCCCAGCTATATTGGATAAGGGCTCACCCTGCTCCAGTATGATCTCATGTTGTTATTATTGTTAAGTGCTCTCGAGCCAGTTCTTAGTTATAAAGACCCTGTATAGGGTTTCTGAGGCTATGGAAACAGAAAACCTCATCTTTCTCCCACAAGGCATCTGGTGGGTTTGAACTGCTTACTCAGTGCTTATCCCAAAGAACCATCACACTCCTCCCCTATCTCATGTCATAACTCTAATAATATATTCTAACAAGAATATTTCCAAACAAGGTCACATTCACAGGTATCAGGGATTCGGATTTCAACGTATCTTTCTTAGGACACAATTCAACCTCTAGCACAAGTAAAGCATTGAAAACAGGGCTCAGTAAATGTTAGCTGCTTCTCTCAACCATCTTTAATCTTACTGATCTTCTATTCTCTTATTTCTGATTCTCAGTTGTATCTAAATGTTTGTTTCATTTCTGTCAGTGTTGTTTGGCTGGTATGTACTCTGGGAGTTGAGTCCTAGCTTTTGGCACAAGTGGTACTCAGTTAATGGTGGTGATGTTGAGAATTGAGGCTGGGGCCAAGAGAAGCTCTGAATGTTGGGTTCCTGGATATTGTGTTAAAATAGGTCTCTTTCTTCCAAGCAGAGGCCCCCCTTGTTGGAAGTAAAAGGGAACAAGGCCCCTTCTCGACTGCCTCTTCCAGGAAGCAGGCTTAAGAGGGGGCCTGACCAGATGGAGAATGCGTTGGAGCCTGAAAAGGTGAGCTGGTTCAGAGGGCTGCGGGTACATCTGTATGTGGTTTATGTTTGTAAACATAGCAGGGGGAGGGTCAGTGACTATGGACCCTATTCTTGGCTTTCCACAGAAACGGATACGAGGATTGGGTCCAGTGACCAAAACTGTCATGTCTCACCCCAGAGCACCGCCCTTCACTGCAGTGCCACAGACACAAGGCCTGATGACCGCATGTGAGTGGGGCAGGGATCAAGGGCCTGGAAGGCCAGTGCTCTCCAACTTACTTCATTCTTGTCTTTCAATTTTAGTTTGTTTTGAATAGGTAACACGCTTCCCCTGGTTCAAAATTCAAAAGGCACAAAGTGATAACAGTAAAAAGTAGACCTCTTACCTCCTTTACCCTTTTACTGTGTGTCCTTCCAAGGTTATTCCATAGGTATTCAAGCAAACGTGGACATATTCCCCCATATATATATTTTTTTACACACTGGTAGCATACTTAACACAGGATTCTGCCCCCTTTTTTTTTTTTTTTTTTTTTGCTGACCTTGGTCCAATTATTGGTACAAGTGGCCATTAGGAGCTGGCTAGACTTAGGGGAGGAGTCCTGGTGGGGCATTGTGGATTAATGTACTGGACTGCAACATTAGTTTGAACTGCATGGTCGGCTGGTTAAGTTCACCAGCTGCTCCTTGAAAACTCGATAAAGGGTCATTATGGGTCAGAACCAACTCTACGGCACTTACCAACAACAAGACTTAGGGAAAAAGAGGATTTCATTTCTGATCCTCACAAAAAGCTATAGTCCTGTTCCAGACCTGGCCAGTATACAAGCCATGCTGACAACGACTGTTCTACTTTTCCCTCTCCCATCTCCCAACAGCCCAGAAAGTCCCCAGGACAACAGGAGCCCGGTGTTCTACAGCTGTTGCCACAGGTAATGGGTATGATTTACAAGCTGTGACTCAGAGGGAACATGGAGTTTGTGTGGGGATGGAGAGAAGGAGGTGAAAGGACACTGGTCCTAAATAATTCCCCATGTCAACTCCCTAATTCCCTAGTGCCAAAGAGCAAGAAGCCTGTTGCTGCCGTGCCTGCCCAGAAGCCTGACAGTAGGTGACAAATGTAACTATTGGGTGACAGGCTGGGAAAAGGAGATAGTGAGTATCCAGAAAAATCCATTGGGTCTTTTTCCTATCAGAAGAGGAAGGAGATAGATGTAGTATTAAGCGTGGGGTCCCTAAATGGTAGAAGGACTTTGTCTATCGTCACTCTTTGTCTCTTTCTTTCCCATCTTAGCATCATCTGTTCCTCCCGTGGTGGGAGGGAAGAAACCCCGCAAGCGTCCAGCCTGGGACTTAAAGGGTCAGTTAAGTGACCTAAATGTAGAGCTAAAATGCTACCGTGAGAAAACTCAGACGTTGGACCAGGAGAACCAACATTTGCGGGCCCAGCTCAGAGAAGCCCAGCAACAGGCCAAGACCCTGGGGGAAGAACGCAGGACACTAGAAGAGGAGTTAGCCAAGGTGCAAGCCCAGGCAGAGCAAGGCCAACAGGATCTGGGGACCCTGAGTGCCCGTGTCCTGGAGCTAGAAGAACAGCTGAGCACACAGGAAAGCTTGGTGCGAGAACTCCAGAAAGAACAGTTGGAATTGCACGAAGAACAGAGGGGACTGACTGCCCGGCTAGAGGAGCAAGAGGTAAAGGCTGACTTCTCACCAAATATAACCCTCTTTTCTTGGCAGAAGATGTCTACCTCCCTTCTCTTGGTACCCCACACCTTCTAGGTTCTCCTGCAGTCTCTTTGGTCTCAGAATCCCTGATCACCAGTAGTGTGCCTCTGTCTTCTACCCATCTCTGCCCCAGTGTACTCCTTCGTCTATCTTGCTCCATTGCTCCCTATTTTCAACTCTGTTTTCATAGCTCCCACCTTGGATCTGTTTTTCCTAGTCTGCCATACTGTTCTCTTTCTTTAGACCCCCATCTTTATAAACATAAATTCCCTCTTGCTATGCCCATATGTTTCCTTGGTGAGCACCAACTAGGTTAAATTACTTGCAGTCCCTAAGTGACTGAACTCTCCCTTCTGCACATTATACATATGTGCTTCTCTCTTTCTAGAGTGCTCTCTCCTCCATCCTTCCCTTGGTTCACTTTAGGGTCTCAACTTAGATATATTACCTTCCTTGTGTCCTTCCTTGGATATTCCTGTAACAGTCTTTATCCTTGCATGAGTTCCTCTCCTACTCACTCCCCGCCCCCACCTTTTTATTACAAATCTCCTTTCCTCACCAGACTGTGAGTTCCTTGGAGGTAGGAGCCCTACCTTCACTCCATCTTGGCCTTGTTACTTGCCCTTATTCTTGGTTTTCTCTTACCCTTTCCATCTGTTCTGCACTGAGCAGAGGAGGTTACAGACATCAGAAATGGCTCTGTCAAGCAGCCAGGCCGAGGTGGCATCACTGCGTCAGGAGACTGCAATCCAAGTGGCTTTACTGGCTGAGCGAGGAGAACGTCTTCATGGGCTGGAGATGGAGCGCCGGCGACTACACAATCAACTGCAGGAACTCAAGGGCAACATCCGTGTATTTTGCCGGGTCCGCCCTGTCCTTCCAGGGGAACCTGCCCCACCCACTGGCCTTTTCCTGTTCCCCACTGGCCCTGGTGGGCCTTTAGATCCTCCAACCCGTGTCAGTCTCTCTCGGTCTGATGAACGGCGTGTGACCTTGAATGGGGCACCAGCCCCTTGCACCCGCCATGACTTTTCCTTTGACCGGGTATTCCCACCAGGGAGTGGACAGGAAGAGGTCTTTGAGGAGATTGCCATGCTTGTCCAGTCAGCCCTGGATGGCTACCCAGTGTGCATCTTTGCTTATGGCCAGACAGGCAGTGGCAAGACCTTCACAATGGAGGGTGGCCCTGGGGGAGACCCCCAGGTAGAAGGGCTGATCCCCCGGGCCCTGCGGCACCTCTTCACCATAGCCCAGGAACTGGGTGTCCAGGGCTGGACATACAGCTTCGTGGCAAGCTATGTAGAGATCTACAATGAAACTGTCCGAGATCTCTTGGCCACAGGGGCCCGGAAAGGACAGGGGGTTGAGTGCAAGATTCGCCGGGCTGGACCAGGGAGTGAGGAGCTTACTGTCACCAATGCTCGATATGTTCCTGTCTCCTGTGAAGAAGAGGTAAGGAGCCATGGCCACAGAAACTGGGGACAAAGTGAATGGGAAGGGTGATACAGGTATGTGGAGAAAGTTGAAGGGTGAAGTGGTGAGAGGTAGCTACATTCTGTTTTGACTGATGGGCTAGAGGGTTGTTGTTAAGTGCTATAGAGTCAGTTCTGACCCCAACCCATAGTGACCCTGTATAAGGTTTCTGAGGAAGAATTGGTAGGTTTGAACTGCTGACCTTGCGGTTCAAAGTGACCTTGTGGTCTAGTGCGTTATTCTGCCAGCACCACGCCAGGGCTAGAAGGTAGGTCTGCTTTAACAGAACCAAAGAACAGAGAGGAGTGACATGGCTGCTGAAGCTGGAGGGGCTCTGGCCCCCTGCCTGTTGCATCTCATTTCCTGCTACTTTTCTTGCTCAATTCATTCTGACCTCCAGGTTATTCCTCACTAGTCACACTCCTATCTCAAGGCCTGTGCATCTGCTGCCTCTTTCACCTGGATGCTTCTTCCAGAATGGCTCATTCCCTCACTGCTTTTGAGTTCTTAAGGCAACAAGGCTGTCTCTGATCATTGTGTCTAAAATCATAACACTTATCCCACCCTCAAACCCTCCCTATTCTTGGTTTGTATTACTCTTTAGCATTGTCAGACATATTTTGCATTTCACTTGTTTTTGTTTACTCAATGCTAGAAAGAAAGCTCTGAGAGAGCTGGGATGACTCTAGTTCATTGTCATACCTGACATCACCACACACTGACTTCTGCTTTTTTTCCTTTCTGCTTCTCATCCCCAGGTGGAAGCCCTACTCCATCTGGCCCGCCAGAACCGGGCTGTGGCCTGCACAGCCCAAAATGAGCGGTCATCACGCAGCCACAGTGTGTTCCAGCTGCAGATCACTGGGGAGCACACTGGTCGGGGCCTACAGTGTGGGGCCCCCCTCAGCCTAGTAGACCTGGCTGGAAGCGAGCGACTAGACCCCAACTTATCCCTTGGTGCTGAGGAGCGGGAACGACTTCGGGAAACACAGGCCATTAACAGCAGCCTTTCCACACTGGGGCTGGTCATCATGGCCTTGAGCAACAAGGTGGGAATGTGAAGGAGGAGGCAGGTGGGACGTGAGGATAGGTTGGGTCTGCATATGCTAAACTTTCTATGTCCTAATCGCCTGTCCCCCCTCAACTCTCTAGGAGTCCCATGTGCCATACCGGAACAGCAAGCTCACCTACCTGCTACAGAACTCTCTGGGTGGCAGTGCAAAGATGTGAGTGAAAGGGGCAGGTGGAAGGTGTGGGATAGGAACTGACGTGGGACAGATGTTCAAGGTTGGGAACATGGAGATCTGATCCAGGCTTCACCCAGCCACTAATATTGGGATTTGTCTCCCTTTTGTCTTTCCACAGGCTCATGTTTGTGAATATTTCCCCCCTGGAAGAAAACAGCTCTGAGTCCCTCAACTCTCTGCGGTTTGCCTCTAAGGTGCGATTACCACCAAACCCAAGCTCTTGTCAGGACTCCTCCATTCTGATTCCCTCTGTCCTCTAGGTGGGGAGAGCATGTTCATCCAGAAGGGATTTAGGTTTGCTTCAACCAGGTATTGGGCCATTATCCACTTGGATCCTGTTTTAAATACTGGCTTTTGAGTTTGGAAATTTTAATTAAGTTTTTTAACGGAGGCTATACACACAAGACCTAAAGCCTTGCTGCTACCTCTATCCAACTCATGTGTCCTATTCATTTTTATCATTTTCTTATTTATCCTTCCAATCTTTTTTGGCAAATACAAACTATATACATGGTCTTCTCCTCCTCTTTCTTACATAAAAGATGTCTTTCCCTCCTTCCCTCTCATATATACATATGCTCCTTATTTCTTTTGCTTCAAAATACAACTCCAAGATTACGCCCATCAATATACAGAGTTGATGTGTTCTTTTTAGATCTGCACTGGGTGGATACACCAAAATTTATCCATCAGTTCCCTCTGCTGGACATTTGGATTTATTCCATTCTTTTACTATTACAAACAAAGCCACACTGATTAACCTTGTACATATGTCATTTTGTATTTGTTTAGTTATATCTGTGGGAGATATTCCTAGAAGTGGATTGCTGAATCAGAAGAGTGTGAATTTAGGTTCCAAACTTCATGAGTGTCCACAACTGCTGTTGTTCTTAGGATCCATCAAGTCAGTACTGACTCATAGCGACCCTATGCACAACAGAACGATACACTGCCGAGTCCCGTGCCAACCTCACAATTGTGCCAACCTACATTTGAACCCATTGCTACTGCCACTTTGCTAATCCATCTTGTTGGGGGTCTTCCTCTTTTTCTCCGACCCTCCGTTTTACCAAACATGCTATCTTTCTCCAGGGACTGGTCCCTACTATATGTCTGAAGTATGAGACAAAATCTGGCCATCCAGGCTTCCAAAGAACATTCTGGCTTTACTTCTTCCAACACAGATTTGTTTGTTCTTTTCATAGTCCATAGTACTTTAAATATTCTCCAACACCATAACTAAAAAGCATCAATTCTTCTACAGTCTTCCTTATTCACTGTCCAGCTTTCACATGCATTATGAGGTTATTGAAAATACCATGGCTTGGTTCAGGTGCACGTTAGTCCTCAAGCTGACATCTTTGCTCTTAAACACTTTAAAGACGTCTTGTGTAGCAGATTTGGCTAAAGCAATACGTTGTTTGATTTCCTACCTATTGCTTCCATGAGTGTGGATGGTTGATCCTCCTGGGGCCAACTGCCACATCCAACAATCAGCGATTCTCCAAGACCCGTGTGGAAAGATTAAACCTGAGTAGGGGTGACGGGAGATTAGAAATAAAAGGAAGACCCAAGTGAAATAGGAAAAAGTTAGAACCAGTTAGGACGTAGCATTCTGATGGAGAAACTGCAGCACCGACCATGGCAGCGAGTTTATTATATACACAGCTCAAGGGGAGGTGCTGGAGGCAGGGAGAAAATAATAACATCTTGTGTTTTGATGCATGCAGTAAGCAGGACTTTATCAGAAGAATGTAACTTGTGGTAGCTAGCTGGAACTCTGATTAGGGCAGCTAGAATGTTGTGCAGTCAGAGCCGAAGGATATAAGTAAATACAAGGAAAGACCTTGCAAGTTCCCTGTCCTCTGAGGCAGCCCTGTAAATTCCTCAGGGGCAGGATTTGACTTAAAAGCAGGCCAAGTTTCTGGACAACTGTTCAGTTGCAATCCTTCGGTTAAACTACCCTTAAGTCAGGGACCCTTGGCTCAGCTGCTCCCAACATGATCCTGGGAAAATGAAGCCTTTGACAACTTCAGTCTTTTCTCCATTATATAGATGTTGTTTATTGGTTCAGTGGTGAGGATTTTGTTAGCTTTACGTTGAGATGCATCCCATACCGAAGGTTGTGCTCTTTGATCTTCATCAGTATTTTAAGACCTCTTTGCTTTCAGTAAGCAAGGTTGTATCTACATATCACAGGTTGGTAATGACTCTTCCTTGAATCCTGATACCACGTTTTTCTTCATATAATCCATCTTCTTAGATTATTTGCTTAGCATATAGATTGAATAAGTATGGTGAAAGAATACAACTGTGGCACACACCTTTCTTAATTTTAAACCATTCATTGTTCCCTTGTTCTGTTCAAACAGCTGTCTCTTGGTCTATGTCAGGTTCCTCATGAGCACAATTAAGTGTTCTAGAATACTCATTTGGCAATGTGGTCCTTACTGTGTCATGATCCAATCGAAAGTCTTTGCCTAGTTAATATACCACAGGCTGTGGGTTAATGCACTAGACTGCAAAGTCGGTTTGAATGGTACTTAACAACAACAAAAACAAAACATCTTTCTGGTATTCTGTTTTCAGCCAAGATCCATCTGATGTCAGCAATGATATCCCTCATTCCACATCCTCTTCTGAATCTGGCTTCAATCTCTGAAAGTTCTCTGTCAGTGTATGGTTGCAGCTGTTTTTATATTATCTTCAGCAAAATTTTACTTACATGTTATATTAATGATTTCCACATTCTGTTGGGTTACCTCTTTGGAATGGGCACAAATACGGATTTCTTATGGTCAGTTGGCCAGGTATTGTCTTCCACATTTCTTGGCATAGATGAGTGCCTCCAGTGCCACATCAGTTTGTTGAAAGATTTCAATTTGTATTCCATCAATTCCTGGAGGCTTGTTCTTTGTCAATACATTTGCAATGCATTTTGGACTTCTTTTTTCAGTATCATTGGCTCTTGATCATATGCTACCTCATAGTTGAACATCATAGTTGAACATCACTATTTCTTTTTGATTACAGTGACTCTGTGTATTTCTTCCATCTTCTTTTGATGCTTTCTGCATCATTCAGCATTTACCCTAGTTGTTGTTAGGTGCCATCAAGTCGGTACCGACCCATAGTGACCTTATACATAACAGAACGAAACACTGCCCGGTTCTGGGCCAGTCTCACAATTGTTGCCATGCTTGAACTCATTGATGCTGCCACTCTGCCAATCCATCTCACTGGGGGAGTCTTCCTCTTTTTCTTTGACCCTCCACCTTACCAAACATGATATCCTTCTCCAGGGACTGGTCCCTCCTGTCAAAATGTCTGAAGTAGGAGAGACAAAATCTGGCCATCTTGGCCTCCTCCAAGGAGCACTCTGGCTGTACTTCTTCCAACACAGATCTATTGGTTCTGAAAGTAGCCCATGCTACTTTCAATATTCTCCTCCAAACCATAACTCAAATGTATCAATTCTTCTACGGTCGTCTTTATTCATTGTCCAACTTTCACATGCATATGGGTTATTGAAAATACCATGGCTTGGTATTTTCAATAACCTTAGTCCTCAAGCTGACATCTTTGCTTTTCAACACTTTAAAAAGGTGTTGTGCAGCAGATTTGCCTAATGCAATATGTCGTTTGATTTCTTGACTGCTGCTTCCATGAGTGTTGATGGTTGATCCAAGAAAAATGAAGTCTTTGACAACTTCAATCTTCTCCATTGAAAAGAATGTTGTTTATTGGTCCAGTGGTGAGGATTTCTGTTTTCTTTACATTGAGATGCAATCCATTACCAAAGGCTGTGGTCTTTGATCTTCATCAGTAAGTATTTTAAGTCCTCTTCACTTTCAGCAAGCAAGGTTGTATCATCTGCATATTGCAGGTTATTAATGAGTCTTCCTTCAATCCTGATGCCACATTTTTCTTCATATAACCCAGCCTCTTGGATTATTTGCTCAGCATACAGGTTGAATAAGTATGGTGAAAGACTACAACCCTGTTGCACACCTTTCCTAATTTCAAACCATTCAGGTTCCCATGTTCTGTTCGAACATCTGCCTCTTGGTCCATGTACAGGTTCCTCATGAGCACAGCTAAGTGTTTCTGGACTGGAACCCTTTAATACCACAAGTTGAGCCTTGAGTTTTTCCTTCAGTTCTTTTGGCTTGATAAATGCTAAGCATGTTCTTCCCTTTTGGTTTTCTAACTCCAGGTCTTTGCACATTTCATTATAATATTTGACTTTGTCTTTTCAAGTTGCTATTTGAAATTTTCTGTACAGCTCTTTTACCTCCTCATTTTTTTCCCATTTGCTTAAGCATCTCTACACTGGAGATCAAGTTTCAGAGTCTCTTCAGACTTTTTGGTCTTTTCCTCCTGTCTTGTATTATTTTTTTCTTTTTTGTACTTTTAATGACCTTTTTTTTTTCCTTCTTGTCTTTGGTCTTTAGTGTCTGATGCATCCAATCTATTCTTGAGCTGATCACTAAATTCAGGTGGAATGTGTTCAAAGTCATATTTTGGCTCTCGTGAACTGGTTTTAATTTTCTTCAGCTTCAGCCTAAACTTGCATATGAGCAATTGATGTTCTGTTCCACAATCTGCCCCTGGCCTTGTTTTGTCCGATGATATGGACCTTTTCTACCGTCTCTTTCTACAGATGTAGTCTATTTGTATTCTGTCTGGTGAAGTCCATGTGTGTACAGTCATCTTTTGTGTTGTTTAAAAAAGGTATTTTCAATGAACAAGTCATTGGTCTTGAAAAATTCTGACATGTGATCTCCAGCATTATTTCTATCACCAAGGCCATATTTTCCAACTACTGATCCTTCCTTTTTGTTTCCAATCCAATTGCCAGTAATTATCAGTACATCTTGATTGCATATTTGATCAATGTCAGACTGAAGGAGTTGGTAGAATTCTTCAATTTCATCATCACTGCCTTTAGTGGTTGGTGTATACATTTGAATAATAGTTGTTTTGACTGGTCTTCATTGTAGGCGGATGGACAGTATCCTATCACAGACAGTGTTGTACTTCAAGACAGATTTTGATACGTTCTTTTTGATGATGAATGTAATGCCATTCCTCTTCAATTTGTCATTCCCGGCATAGTAAACCATGTAATTGTCAGATTCAAAATGCCCAATAACAGCCCATTTCAGTTCACTAATGCCTATAATATCGATGTTTATGCATTCCATTTCATTTTTGACAATTACTGATTTTCCCAGATTCATATTTCTTACATTCCATGTTCCGATTATTAATGGATGTTTACAGCTTTTTTTTCTGCATTTTGAGTTGTGCCTCATCAGCAAATTAAGGTCCCTAAGGGTTTACTCCATTTGCATCGTCAAGGTCAGCTCGACTTTGAGGAGGCAATGCTCAAGACACCACTCATCTGTCAGTTTGTCTTTTTGTTGTACTGTGGTACGAATATTTAACAGCTGGTGGCCATCAATTCTTAAGCAGACTTGTGCTCCCTCCCCAATGTCTGTGCTTAGTGGACAGCAGAGAACTAACTAGAACTGGAACCATCCTCAGTTTACCTCCAGAGCCCCTATCTTAGTTTTCTCTGAGGGCAGTCCCTAGCATTGGGGAAAGCTTCTTCTGGTTAATCTGCAGAAGTTTTTTATCCTGTCTGCTTACAGGTGAATCAGTGTGTTATTGGAACTGCCCAGGCCAACAAGAAGTGAACGTGGATCCAGATCCTGTGGGTGTGTTTATCTGTCCATGTGTGCCCAGTTTTGTATCCATGTGTGTTTAGGGGGATATGATTGCTGAGGGATACTTTAGTGTGAGGGGGAAATAAGGAATTCTGTGTACCTGGCCCTGTCAAACAATTAAAAAAATAAATAAAGGTATTATTAGATGATACCCAATGTGAAGTTATTTTTCCTATGTCTAAAGATGGAAACGGAATCTGTCTGCTCTGCCAAGTGTGTGTGTGTTGTAAAGGCTGCAGTTTTTCTCTCATACAGGCCTCCAGCTGGAGTCCCCTGAAGAGGGGGCTTTCACTTTTTTGTGGCCCTGGACCTTGTTTTGGCCCAACTCCCCTTCATCTAATCGCCACAATACACATGAAGCTGTGCTCACTAGCGATCCACAGTTACTACGTGATCACCCACTGCCTCCCTGAATACCGGCCACTCTAACCCCATGCAGGAACGCTCCTTGGGTGGATGTAGGGGCCCGGACTAACTTTACCATTCCACAAACCGCTGGCTCTTCCCGCCCTTTCCCTGCCTTCCTGTTCAAATCGCCAGAGTTCCGCCCTGCCGCCATTCATTGGCTGCTCCCTGGTGACGTCATTAGTATGCTCTCCGCGTCCTCGCACTGGCCCTCAAAACCCTGGGCTAAAACTACATGGGAAGCGGGAGCGCGCACCCATCCAGCACCTCGCGCCAACAGCCAACGGCCGCCGCCTTGTAAGGGAGGGGTGCAGTCTTCCCAGGTGCCGCTCGCAGGAGGAGCCACGCGTGCGCAGAAGGGGGGTGGGGGGTAGGGGGGAAGAACAATTTGCCACCGAGAGGGCGGGGCCGGGGCTTCTGCGAGGGGGCGGGGCACTCAAGGGGAGAGGGCGTGGTATGGGGGAAGGGTAAGTGGAAGGCGGGGCCAAGCGCTGGGGCTCAGGGGCGGGACTTTAGGTAATCTTTTGGTTGGGGGAATGGGGGGGCAGTTAACGGATGTGGCATGGGGTGGGGGGCCAGATCCGAGGTGGACTGCTGGGAGGGGGGAATCCCTCCTGCCCCGAGGGCGGGTCTCCAGTTAGGGCAAGGGGCTGTGGGGATTCCCTCTCCCTACAAGTCCAACTGTCCGCCCGCCCCAGCAACTAGGGAGGCGCTGTGCGCTCAGCACTCTCCAGGATTGCCGGAGGTGAGGGAGGTGGGGTGAGTTGGTGCCGCCCCCCTCCCCCCCGGCTCCTCCTTCCCCCCCGGCCCTCCCCTCCCACCACCCTCCCCCTATTCGGTCCGTCCTTCTCCTCCCTCCCCCCGCCGTCTCCTCCTGCTGCCGCCGCTGCTTTGGCTGCTGCGTCATACGCCCCAGAGCCGCCGGGACGGAGGGGTTGGGCCTGGGGACCCCCTGGCCTTTGCCTGCACGCCTTCCGACGCCTGGACGTGCACTCCCCGCGCTCGGGGGGCTCGCCTAGATTTCCCACAGCTGCTCCTGCCAGGCTCCCAGCGGCCCCAGCTGTCACCGGTAAGGAGGCGGCGGAAGGCGCCGGTGGGGGGGAAGGGAGCCGGGGGTCGGCACGTAGGGCGCGGGCGGGAGAACTCATGCCGCTTGGGTATTGGGTTGACCAGGCCGACTCAAGTCCCCTCTCGGACTCGCCAGTCGAGGATAGTAGAGACTCGGATGGGACACGCCCCCCTCCCGAGGCACTCAGGAAGTTATCTAACCCGGGGGCAGGGAACCCCAAATTTTAGGGTGACCTGACATAACCCGGCATCAGGGTGATTGTTCTGAATGAGACTAGAGGGCCTGGGGGAGGCCAGCCATTCCTGAGAGTCTCGGGAAAACATCTCCAGGAAAGCTCCCCGAACACATATCTGGACTGTGGAGCACCCCAATTATGATACCTCCATATAGTACAGGAACGTGACAGTAGAATCCCAGTAACCTTTGCTTTTGGTTAGGAGAACCATCATGTCTCCTAAAATCTCGAGGCCAAGATAAAATCTCCCAGAGGAGCTCTGGAAGCTGAAAAACTAGAGAATTAGGTTGTGGAACTACATACCAGAGTTGGGAAAGCTGAAGTTGAGAAGCTGGGCAGGTTTGCCCCAGGTGTCTTTAGGATTGAGCCTTAAGGGCAACAGCTGCTTGAATTCACAGCAGAGAAATAGGCAGAGAAAATGAGAAGGGTTTCTCAGCATCTATAACATTCTTCCATCTGTTTTTGGCTAGGCCCCCCCAGGATGCAATGGCGCAGCCCCCCCGGCTGAGCCGCACTGGTGCCCCCTCACTTTGGGACCCGGCTTCTCCAGCTCCCACCTCGGGTCCTAGGCCCCGACTTTGGGAGGGTCAGGATGTGCTGGCCAGATGGACCGATGGGTTGCTATATTTGGGGACCATCAAGAAGGTAAGAATTTTGATCTCTGGCCTGTCACCTCCTAACCATTCTCCTTATGTCATACCGGCTCCCACTTCATCCTCTGCGCTCACTATTCCAGGTGGACAGTGCTCGGGAAGTTTGCCTGGTCCAGTTTGAGGATGATTCCCAGTTTCTGGTTCTATGGAAAGACATTAGCCCTGGTGAGACTGTAGAGACTGAGAGTGTGCATCCCATGGAAAATAGAAACCTGGTGTGAGGAGGGCAGAAGGAGGGTTAATGGCTGGCCTCTCTACACTGTTCTCACACAGCTGCCCTCCCCGGGGAGGAACTCCTCTGTTGTGTCTGTCGCTCTGAGGCTGTGGTTCCTGGGAACAGGCTGGTTAGCTGTGAGAAGTGTCGCCACGGTAAGAACTCTGGTCCAGCTTACTCTGGGCCTTCTAGGCTGATTGTGACCCTCCCCTCCTGCACACTTCCTTATGCCATCTGTCCAGTCTTGAGTCCCTAACCATATAACCCTGCCCCCTTCCAACCCAGGAAGAGGCCAGCCATGGACTAGGGGATGGTGTGGACTTTGCAGGTAGTAGGTAGTTCAAATACATCATCTACACCCATATGACTGTGGCCAAGTCCTTTAATCTTTAAGAACCTCAGTTCCTGTAAAATAAGGATAGGAGGGTTGAGATGGATAAGACTATTTCTATGCAGGTCTCTAACATACAAGCAGCCTTAGTGATGTGCATTAAGTGGTCTATTATCAACATTATCCTATCCAGCTTATCATCAGGACTGTCACGTTCCGAGGGCCCCAGCCCCTGGAGAGGGAGAGGGCTCATCTCCCTGGGTCTGCCGCCAGTGTGTCTTTGCCATCGCCACCAAGGTAAAGGTACCTCCCTGTTACCCATACTGATCTAGTCATTTTTGTGGGATCTTCTCCCAAGCCTCTCTTCTGAAACCTGTCTGAGATCTCCTACCTGTCCTGTCTCTGCAGAGAGGGGGTGCCCTGAAGAAGGGGCCTTATGCCCGGGCCATGCTGAGCATGAAGCTTTCTCTGCCGTATGGACTAAAGGGGCTGGACTGGGATGCTGGACATCTGAGCAACCGGCAACAGAGCTACTGTTACTGTGGGGGTCCTGGGGAGTGAGTATTAAGGATGGGGTGTGTGTGTGTGTGTGTGTGTTTAAAGAATGAGTGACATGGGGGAGGGCATCCCAGGGAGTGTAGGAAAAATTGGGGAGGGAAGTTACAAAGGGAAAGGTGTAGGTGACAAGGTTTGGGGCAATTACTTGGGGATATATGAAGGACACTCACCTTGTGTTCCCCTCAGGTGGAATCTGAAAATGCTGCAGTGCCGGAGCTGCCTGCAGTGGTTTCATGAGGCCTGTACCCAGTGTCTGAGCAAGCCCCTCCTCTATGGGGACAGGTGAGAGCAGGAAAGACTCTTCAGGAGCTGATGGAGACCTGCCTTGCTCTGGGCTCCACCTTCTCAGCTCCTCCATGCCTTTCTCCCTTCTATTTGCTTCCCACCCTCACCTGTTTGCCTCATCCTTGCGCCTTAGTCCTCTGTAGAGCATAGTTTTCTAACATAAGATGTGTTCTCTCTCTTACCTATGTCCAGGTTCTACGAGTTCGAATGCTGTGTGTGTCGGGGGGGCCCTGAGAAGGTCCAGAGGCTACAGCTTCGCTGGTGAGCTATGTTTGGCATGACTTCAGTGTAACGCCTCAAAACACCCTCATTATTTTTTATCCTTTGTGGGTTAAGCACTAGCCTACCAAAAGGTCAGGGTTCTTAAACCCACCAGCCACTCCTTGGGAGAAAAATGAGGCTGTCTGCTCCTATAAAGATTGACAGCCTCAGAAAACCTCGGGAACACTTGTATTCTGTTCCGTCGAGTTGCTGAGCCTCAAAGGCAGTGGTTTTTACCCCAGCCTTCCTCCCGTGGGACCTCTGGCTTTTGTAATGCTTCTGTGACTTTGACAATCTTGTGTCACTCCAGGGTGGATGTGGCCCATCTTGTCCTGTATCACCTCAGTGTTTGCTGTAAGAAGAAATACTTTGATTTTGATCGTGAGATCCTCCCCTTCACGTCTGAGAATTGGGACAGCTTGCTCCTGGGGGAGGTAAGGGTTAGTGAAGCTTTAGAGCTTGGAGTTGGAGTTGGAGAGGCGGGCTCATTGTGCTCCTGACCGTGTTTTCCTTCCCCTTTCCCAGCTGTCAGACACCCCCAAGGGAGAACGTTCTTCCAAGCTCCTCTCTGCTCTCAACAGTCACAAGGATCGGTGAGTTGGAGGGAGGAGGAGGCAAGAGAGGCCTCAGAGAGAGCGAGCTGTGGAAGGCTGGAAGAGAGGATTGCCACCCACCTAGAAGGTCGTCAGTTTGCATTAGTGCGCTCCTTTCCTTGTAGTGCTGACCATGTATCATTTTTCTCCACTTTCCAGTTTTATTTCAGGAAGGGAGATTAAGAAGAGAAAATGCTTGTTTGGTCTCCATGCTCGGACCCCTCCCCCTGTGGAGCCCACTGGAGATGGAGCCCCCACCAGGTCACTGGTCCGGGGGAATGGGGAAAATCCTCCGGGACAGAGTCTGGGAGCATATGTATATAAAAAAGGAGGGGAGTCTTTGGGGTGCCCGGGAGGGGGCTGGGGGGATAAGGAGGCCTCTTACAGCTTCCCTTCAGGGCAGGGCCCTGGGGGAGGGGTCTCACGTCCCCTGGGGAAGCGCCGGAGGCAGGAGCCAGAGCCCCTGAGGCCAAGGCAGAGGGGAAAAGTGGAGAAGTTGGGGCCACCCTCGGCAGTGCGCAACCACCTCAAATCCCAGGAGAAGAGGGAGCGGGCTCGTCTGCAGAGGGCGCTGCAGGTACAAAGGTGGGGAACACCATGGGGTGAGTGGTGGGGTATAGAAAAGAATCAAGGATTACCTCTCAGTCCTTTGCCTCTTCTTCTAGGCCTCAGTGTCTCCACCACCCCCCAGCCCTAACCAGAACTACCAGGGCAGCAGCGGCTACAACTTCCGGCCCACAGACGCCCGCTGCCTGCCCAGGTGAGCCTACTCCCTAACCAGATGTGCTCTCTTAGACCCTCTCTTCCATATTTTCCAAAATTTCTTTCTCTCTCATGCTTGCCTACCTACTTCTTGGCTTAGAGAGGTTTCTGGAGTCAATTCCTGGTACCAAGTACTCTGGAGCTAGGGTATCCTGGAGGGTAATGTTTAAGCTGCCTTTCCCAGGGAGAAAGGGCCCTGACATTCACTTTCTCAATCCCAGCAGCCCCATCCGGATGTTTGCTTCCTTTCATCCCTCTGCCAGCACCGCAGGGACCTCTGGGGATGGAGAACCCCCAGACAGGTGAGTCTAACCATCTTGATCTGTGATATGCCTCCTCTTTCTCCTCTCTGTTCTGAAGTTCCTCAGTCTTTAACCATGTCTTCATTCCTTTGATCCACACTTGGTTTTCATTTCTGGTCAATCCTTGCCTACATCTGTCTGAGTTCAAAACTGCCTTCTTTCCTCAGGTCACCCCTGGAACTTCACATCGGTTTCCCCACAGACACCCCTAAAAGTGCACCCCACTCGATGACTGCCTCATCCTCCTCAACCCCAACCCCCTCCCCAGGTGTTTCTAGACGCTCAACAACCCCTTCTTCTCTCTGCCGTAGTTTATCTCCTGGGAGTGGGGGAGGAGCCCGTGGTGGGGTTGGCACTGGCTACCTATCCCGAGGGGACCCTGTCCGGGTCCTTGCTAGGAGAGTACGGCCTGATGGCTCTGTGCAGTACCTGGTTGAGTGGGGAGGAGGGGGCATCTTCTGAACAGCCCTCCTCTGTCCACCTCCCCATTCACACACACCGGCACTTTCATACCCTGACCTCACCTGCAGCTGGGATGTACCTAGGGAGGTAGGGGGGTAGGGGTAGTTCTCCCTACTGCCCAGGCTGGAATCTGGGTAGGGGTGTGAGAAAGAGGCTGCTCTGCTCTCTCTTCTCTACCCCTTTCATGATTCCTGGACCCCCCTCCCTTTCCTTCTTCCCATTTCTTTTGATGTTATTTTGTTACAGCTTTTTAAATATTTTTAAAAATTATTTAACCCCTGGGAGCAGAGGCTGAGGAGGGGGGATGGAGGGATGATAAGGGATCCTGGACTCTGTATGATTGAAATAAAGAGAAATAAACAAATCTAGCAGCTCTGAGTCATTTTGAAAAACGGGAAGAACACAGGAGCTAGAAGCATTTCTAATTTTTCCCATCAAATTTGCATAACATGACAAGGAAAAAGGCAGAGAAAATCAAAGATAGGATTTATTGAGGGCCCAGTCATCACCTGGCAATCAGAGGACACTGATGTATATGAGGGGATCATGGTGAGGACAGGGCTACTCATGGTAGGACAGTGCTGGAGTCAGAAATGAGCTTTGTGACCTGGCGAACCCAATGCAGATAGGGGGAGTTCCCCTGTTCAACTGGCAATGCAATCACCTCAGCAACTTCATAAGGATGTACAGAACTGCAAACGAAAGGTTTTGGGGGACCACTGAAAGATTGACCCAGATTTACCCTTCCCCTTTGACACAGCCCAAGACTGCCCAGGAAATTCTTACCGAACAAATTCTGTCAATGCAGGTACCAAGGAACTTTGGGTTTTAATCATCTAAGGGACAAGGAGATAAAACAGTTGAGTCAAGGAGGGCAGATTTCAGGATCTCAGATGAGGGGCAGGGATCAAAGGAATGTGGAGGAAATTGGGGGAGTATGTTGGGGGAGTGTTTCTTACCATCAGCACCTCACTGTCCTCCTCAATCTTTCCTTTCCACTCATAGCTAAAAAGGTAGAGTGTGTGTTATGGAGAGCAGAGATTGCTTCCAAGTAAAAGGCTTCCCTAGCCTCTCAGACCCCAGAGTTAGGTTAACCCCTCCACTCCTGTGACTCACATGGATGTAATCTGCGGGATGAGATTGACACAAGCTGCTAGGCGCTTCTCCACCACAGCCCTGAAAACGAAGAGACAGCCCCATTGAGAGCCCCCAACCTGGGGTTGTTTTTGTACTGGCAGTCCAGAGACAAGCTTTCAAATTTGGAAAGAGTAGGAAGCAACGGAAGGGCACTATTCATCTTTAACACCTCCCTTCCGGATCATCCTTCCCCACCCCCACTGAGGTCCCCACCTGGCGATCTCCTTGGCGACTTTCTCATTAGGGCAGGTGACAAAGGCTGCTGAAACCGAGCCAGGGACATAGCCAGAGTCCGAAGTCGGGGATGATTGGGATGGGGCACTTCGAGAGGCCATGGAGAACAGGGCTCGGGGTAACAACAGAAGGCGGGAGGTTACAGGTAGCAGTGCCGGCATCCAAAGAAGCGACAGGAGCAGCGCGGCCTGAAAGCAGGGAACGAATTCAGTGTTTCTCCTCATATACTCAGGGAAACAGAACCGGGGAATGCATTAACTTTGTATCCCCTCTTCTGCACCCCGAAGGAATACGTCATCACTGGAGCTGGGAGACAAACTTCGAAAACTATGGCAAAGCTTTTGTTTTTACTCTCTCATTAGCTGTCGAGTTCTGGGATTTTGGGTGAGGGTAGTGATAAGAGACTTCGAGGACCGGAAGGGATGGGGCCGGTCACTCACCACTCCGCCGAGCAGGATCGTGGGAGCCCGCCCCCCCTTCATGCAGCCTCTGCTGGTAGAGGAGGGTTAAATATCAAAGGCCACACGTTACACAGGGCAAAGACCCCAAACCACGAAGAGCAGCCTCTTCTTACCTGGGCTGCAGTCACGTGATAAGAAAAGCGCGCGCACCTTGTGACATCAGAAGCAGGCCGACCTACCCTCCATAGCCAGCCAATCTTAACAGTCTTATGGCCCTGTTTGCCTCGCCTCCTGATGAGGGAGGAGAGAAGAGGAATTAGACCAATCGTCAGTCGGGTCTGCAGACATGCACGGAAGTGGCACGCCCACTTCCGCATAAAGCGGAAACGGCCTGTTGCTGGCTAAGGAGAGCTGCTGCAGCGCTCTACTGTCACGTGAGGCAGCTGGTCCTCTCAGGCGAAGGTATCTCAATGAGTGACACAAAAAGACCAATCGCAGCCCAATTCTGCAGGCCACGTGAAAAGAGAATTGACGCTAGGAAGAGGGCGGGGGGCGAGAGACCCTCCAGATCCGATGCGTCAAGTTGTGGCGTGGGGAATCATCCTTAAACCCCAGAATGAACAGTTTTACAGCTCCTTCACAGTTCCTGAAGTCTTTAGGAGTGGGAGGGGTCTAAGAAGATTAAATCTCAGTGTGTTAAAAGAAAGCGCCCCCTGCCCTTTTGGTTAGAACTGAGATGTGCCCGGTTTTGGGAGAGAACAAGGATGATCAGGAGAGGACAGCTGGCTCTGGGTAGGGGGTAATGATTAAGCAGACACGGGCATGGCAAGACATGACTGGATGAGGAATGATACATTGTAAGATAGAGCGAGACCCTGTAAATGGGGGCGAGAACGATCAAAGTGGAGGTGAGGGCACTTCACCTCTCAACACAAACCCCAAAGCTGGAGATTGATGAATCAGGAGAGAAAAACACTAGGAAACAGTGATGGTCCCCTGATCTCTGTCCATTCCACTCCAGGATAGGTCCATCTCTCAGTCTTGGGTCTCCTTCCCTTAGTCCATCCCCTTAGGATCCAGGACCTGCCCTACATTCCGTCCCTAGGGCCCAAGCTCATCCTGTGACCCAAAAATGCAAAGAGGGGCCAATGAGAAGCAAGAAAGGTGGGAAGGAGCAGAGAACAACGCTTTCGCCACTCCCCCTCCTCAGTAATCCTCTTCCCAGCACGGTTTGGGGTCACTGGTTTGGTGGGTAGATGTGACTGGGAATTTCCCAGGATTGTGTTAGGGCTCTTGCATACCTATCTTTTGGGTTGGGGTCTCCTGAAGATCTCTGTTTTACAGTTTGGAGTCTGTCTCTAAGATGGATCTCTGTGGGGCCTTTCAATACTTGGGTTGGGGTCTTTCTCAAGGCAGTTTTGTTGTTGTTGTCTGGGGGTTTCTATTTTTCTGGGTCTGCAGTGTCTCTCCTCAAGGTCCTTCAAACTCGATGAATTTGGGGTCTCCTGAGTTTTCTGTCTCTGGGCTAATGGAGAGATCCCTGCCTCTCTCCCTGAGCCTGGAATTTCTGTCTCAGAGTTGTCTCTTAAATCTGCAGTTTCTTGTCTCTGATAGAAATCCGGGGGTCTTTGAGGTCTCAAATCTGGGTCTGGGTTCTTTCTCAATCAGATGATCTTTGAGTTCTGGTCTCAGGTCCTGGCCCCGAAGAAAATCAAAATCATAGGGTCTGGAGCCAAATTCTTGTGGTTATGGAGAACCTTTTGAGAAGGGAATTTCAAGTTTTGATCTTTGACCCCTCTAGGGGGCTAAGGGGCTTTTCTAAAATCTGAGGTCTTTTTTTTCTTGTACACTATGGTCGGTGCCTCAGATTAACCCTCTCTCCTCCCCCTGAAGAGGGGGCCGAGGTCTTAGAGCCCGCCCCTCTCAATGCGAGGTTTTCTTCCCCTATGGGTCTGGGGTCTCGCCAACTCAGGGTTTGGGGTCTGCAACTACAGAACCACTCTCTCTGTGTTAAACGATATCTAGTCAGGGGTCTCTCTCCAGGGCTCTCTGAGTAGGGGTGGGGGCTGCAGAGTTTCTCCCTCCTCCTCCTCCAGCTCTCTCCCCGCTCGCTCCCCCGCCCCCCTCTCTCTCTCTTTCGCTCTCTCTCTCTGCTGCCGCTGCTGCCGTTGGCTCCTATTCTCCTCCTCCTCCTCTTCTCTCCTCCTCTCTGCTCCTCTCTGCTCCTCTCTCCTCCTCTTTCCTCCTCCTCCTCCACCTCCTCCTCCTTCTCCCCCTCTCTCCCCCTCTTTCTCTCTTCTCTTTCTCCCCCGTCCCCCCGCCCCCTCCCCCCAGGCCTGATGAGCAGGTCTCGCGCCTCCATCCATCGGGGGAGCATCCCCGCGATGTCCTATGCCCCCTTCAGAGGTACGGTGGTTGGGGGAGGGGGAGGGCCAGAAGGGGGGGCAGGAGGGGGAGGGGCAGGGGGCGGAGGTAGAGCTGGGGCTAGGGGAGGAGAGCGGCTGAAATGGAGGGAGAGGGGTGGACCGGGAAGGCAGTGGTGGGAGCCGTGGGGAAGGAGGGATTAGGCTAGGGGGATAGGGGTAGATAGGGGACAGAGAAGCTCGGAAACAGGCCTTGAAGGGGGCTCAGGGGAAAATGATGAAGGGGGAAGAGAGCCAAAAAGGGGTGAGAAGATACAGGAATAGGGTTGGGACAAGACCTGCAGAAATAATTTGGGGTGGAATTTGAAAGATGAGGACATATCAAGAAAAGAGAGGGCCAGTCTTAGAAGAGGGGCTAGGAGGGGAAAATGAAAACAGGAAGAGAGAGGCCAAGAAGATTGTGGGGGGGGGGGTAGTATGGTCGGGCCTCAGATGGTAGGGAACAGAAAAAGAGAGGAGAATGAAGGGAGAGAAGAAGGGGCCAGATGGAGAGAGAGGGAGGCTGGGGTGGGGGTGGGGGTGGATGGAGGGTCCAGATGGAGGGAAGAATGGGGGGAGGGGACACCCGGGTAGGGGGAGGGCCAAATTATGTCTGTGTTTGTTTTGTGTGTGGAGGGCAGCTGGCATACTAGTGAGATTGACCGATACAAATAGAGTCGGGTTAGGATACTGCCCCAAACTCTGACCTTCATTAAGGCCCTTGATCAATGAAATGTAACCCTTGGGGGTCTTGTAAGCTCCCTTCACTTTTATCCCTCCCCACCCCCATTCTTCTTTCCATTCCCCCTCCTTCCTCTGGTGTCCATCACTGATATCTTTCCCCCCATATGGTGTCCGTTCATTATATGAGTCCCCTTTCTGTCTTTCCCCTTATTAGTCGCTTCTCTGGTGTCCATTCTCACCTTCTCTTGTATCTGGAAGCTCCTCTGTATCTATACCACTTCTCCACACCTTCCTTCTTGACCCCTTCCCCTATTCCCCCCCTCCCCCCAATTGGGTCCACTTCAGTTTCTCTTCCTCATGCCCAGTTGTGCCCTCCTGGTGTTCTCTTGTCCCTCGGGATTTCCCATCATTTCTTTCTCTTCTCTTAAACCTATTCCTGCTATGTGCACCCTAATCCATCTTCTATTCCCTATCCCATTCCCCATCTTGTCACCACAGGTCTGTATCCACCTCCTCGCTCCTAATGTCCAGCTCCTCTTATCACCCATTCGTCACTTGGGTTGCACAGACACTGTGTGTTTGATGATTGAATCAGGAGTTACAAGATGTCCCCATCTGAGTCCTGGTGGGATTTCTCATCCTAGTAAATCTTTCCCTTTCTCAGCTATGTTTCTCTGCCTCTTATATCTACTTCTCAGAATCATCCTTCCCCAAATCTAGACAATCAGTGTGTGAGTGTTACAGAAGTTACTCCTAAGCAAAGTTCTGAATGTCCTTCTCAGCTCCCAGGGGGAAAATGCATCCTGAAGTCTAACCTGCCTCCCTCCGATTGGCTGCAGCCTGAACCAGCCCCTCCCTAATGGTTATGTGTATCAACAGATTTCTCCTTTGGGTGGACAAGTGTCAGTGCTGTGGGCATGTTACCTGCAGCTTCTGTGGTCTCAGAGCCTAGAGACTGGCGACCTCTATCTAAAGCATATTGGTTAGAGTCACTGAGATGGCATTGAGACAATAAAAGTTTCAAAGTATTGGGGGTTTTATGTCTGACTGGTCTGTAGGTTGGGTAAATTGAGGGCCATATTTTAGGCAGAAAGAAGCCTGAATTTTTAAAACTCAGAGTTATTCAGTTGAAATGAAGCCCAAAGAGCAATTCTCCAGCAATATTCATTGTTAATTTTCCTTTAAAGATGATAGAATTTTAATTTTCTTTCTCTAAATGCTCTCACTTGGATACCTTAAATCTGATGTCTGCCCTTCTTCTGTAGCCTGTTTTCTGTTACTTTGATGTCATCAATCTGATGTCTCTTGAACTTTACAGGAGTGGAAAGTTTGTAGGGAGGAGGGAGTCACATCAAGAAGAAATGCAAAGTTTGGGATGTGAGACTCTGGGGATATCTCTGAACAAGGGCCACCTTGGTTTTCTGTTCTTCTAGACCTTTTGTACCTATTCTCGGTCCTTACCCCTGGAAGTTTCCTCCATATCACCTGTCCTGGATAATCCATTTTTTTCCTTTGCTCTTTTCTCCTCCAGCCCCTCAGTGTGTCCTGGGGAGGAGTTTGCTAACCTGTTGCTTCCATACTGTCTGTCCTAGGCGGCTAGGTGGGTGGTGTTTGGGCAGTGTTAAGTCTTTGGGCATTTGGGGGAAGACAGGGAGAGCTAAATTGGTCTCTATTCAAGCAAGGGTTATTTCCTACTTCCTTCATCCCAGCCCTCCTCCCACCCAGTCAGATGCTGACTAGAGCCATCATATTTCTGTCACCTGAGGAACCAGAACTTGCCCAAGGAATGAGCAGGGTTGGGCAAGGGGAAAAGGGAAGGGAGGCTTTTCTGACTCTGTAATTAGGTAAGCTCCCTCATTTCCTCTCTTTTCCAGATAATTAGTTCTCAGAATCTCATTACCCAAATGTACCAAGTCTTCCTCTCCTCATCCTTTTCTCCCTCAGTTGTGCAGCTTTTCTCTGACTCTGGTGCAGAGAGGTGGTACCACTTTCCAGATCCTTGTCTTCTTCAGTTATTTGGATGTCCTCGCTTCCAGACACCTGCTACACATCTCTTTGTTTCTTCTGATAATTTTGCTGCATCTCCAACTTTTTATTTTCCTGAAGTGGTTGGAAAGCTCTTTCATCTGCCTCTGCCC